AAGTCTTACCTCTTGAATCAGGGAAAGTCATTTGTGATGTAGGCTTGAGCAGCCCAATCAGTTTTTCACAGTTAGATAGATGGACTGATATATAAACAGAGAGAAAAGTTTGTAAAGTAACAAGAAGCCGTGTTTTTGTGCGATATCTTTGATTATTCAAGTGGCTTTTGCTGAAGTTATCTACCTTTTTTTCCCGGGAAATGCTCTTCGAGTTCAGACACACAGGGATAACATCGTATTGGAAGGGCAAAAAACCAAGATTCCTGAAGCTGGAGATTGAAGAGCGCTTTAGTAATCTCCTATAATCCTTTTTGTTCACCCAGGAGATTGTCCTCCTTTAGAAGTTTCCAGCCAGACAAAGAGGTGGATAGTATGATGGTATCAACTCTAATAGACTGGGGAGGTTGAGGAAAAGGCTAACCACCTCACTGTGTCAAATGGGCCTAGGTTGAAGGAAGTCAGCTCTTTCTCAATTATTTTCTAAATTAACTGACGAGCTCCACTGAGATTTAGCAGAGACTTTCTGAGGTATTACAGCTCAGAAATGGTCAGGATAGGGAGTTCAGGGGTGCGATCTTTGTGTCAAAGTACTGACATACCTTTCAGGTACTTGCACTTTCTGAAGAATACCCTCATCGCCTTTTCTGTATTGTTAAAGAACTTTTATTTAATACTGAATGCAGTTCGCTGATTGTACATTACTACAATAAATGCATTGCAACAGCTGTGAAAGAACGGTCACACATTGCAGGAGGTGTTATGTCATTTGCTTGTTTGATTTTAAATGTCTGATAGTAGTCCATCCTCATTATTGTGAATACCAGTGGAATTCCCATAGCAAAAGAAGAAAACCTCATACTTTCGTGTTTGCTCATTGTTCCTAAAACCACTGCCGTGAAATATTGCTGAGGAGCGATGCACCCTCATGAGTAAAGGGGTAATAAGAGACTTGAAAGGTCAGATCGTCTGTCTTGGTGTGGTTTTAATGGAAAGCATGGCCACTTGCCAAGGTCTGTGTTTCTCAAGGACCCCAGGTTAAGTAATGCCAAGACTGCAGTTAATAACAAAGGCCTTCCAATAGAGTTTGCAAAGCTCGCATCATTACATGAAAATGGCTGCAAGCGCTTTGATTAGTTTTAAAACTAAGAAAAGCAGCAGAGCCATGCTGAGATCTGGCATTTGAAAAGAACACTGTGACAAGAATAAAATGCTTGTGCTCTAATGAAAGCTTTTCAATAAAAATCTGGAGTATTTTCATCTCTTGGAGAGGCTTAAAAGACAAACATTGTGTTTCTACCCTCTCTGATAATATATTTTATATGTGAAATATGTTAGCCATTATATTTAATTATTTAATGTCTTTTTTATTATTTTATAATAATAATAATGTAAAACATATGCCCAATTTAAACATTCCATAGAATGGTTATTAATTATGTACAATGACTGCTTGTTGACTCAAATATCTAATCACTTGGTAACATGGTAACAACTCAATGCACTGATGCATGCAGCTATGGTCCAGATGACCCAGCATCAGAATGGGGAAGATAGGTGATTTAAGTGACTTTGAGTGTTACATAGTTGTTGGTGCCAGACAGACAGAAACTGCTGTTCTACTGGGACTGACCTGCAAGACAAAAAAGACAAAACATCCAGTTAGTAGCAGTTTGCTGGGCAAAATGCCTTGTTGATGCCTGAGGTCAGAGCAGATTGGCTTCAGGCATATAGGAAGTCAAGAGTAAATCAAATAACAACTTATTACAACCAAGGTATGCAGAAGAGCATTTCTGAATGCTAAATATGTCCAAACCTGTTAGCTTAGCACAGGAAATTCTCATAGGCTCGCCAAAGTTGGACAATAGAAGTTTGGAAAAATGTTGCCTGGTCTAATGAGTGTCAATTTATGCTGCAATAATCAGATGATAGGGTATCAATGGCTCAGATTGCCAACACTGGCAGTTTAATGGTATGGGGTGTTCTTTCTTGGCATACATTGAAACGTGAGAATTGTTTAAATTTCACAGCCATCTTCCAACGACTGCATTTGGCAGAATACCACGGGCGACCATGGTTCAGGGGGTTGGGAAGCTCATCTTGTAACTGGAAGATTGCCGGTTCGATCCCCAGTTCTGTCTGTCTTGGTTGTTGTGTCCTTGGGCAAGACACTTCACCCTACCGCCTACTGGTGATGGCCAGAGGGGCCGATGGCGCAATATGGCAGCCTTGCTTCTGTCGGTCTGTCCCAGGGAAGCTGTAGCTAGCTTGCCTCCACCAGTGTGTGAATGAATAGCGGAATTGTAAAGTGCTTTGGAGGTCTCGAAAAGCGCTAAGTGCAATCCATTATTATGCTTGAAAGCATGTCACCAAAAAACTGCTTAAAAGTTTAGTAAAAAAAAAGTAAAGTATAATGTCCTCGTAACTGGATATCAGGCCCTTGTGGAGCAAAATGTATTATTTTGGTCTAGACATCCCAAAATGTGATGTCCACATATGTGGACGCCAGGTCAGGAAGTTAAAGCTTGCATTAAGATTACACAGTCACATTGGGGGAAATCCTGGATGCCTTTTTTAGTAAATTCCTTTTCCTCATAAAGCCTGCCTTTATATTTAGATAGTACTTGTCCACTCTGGTCTTGATATTTAAAGTGTGGCAAGGCTTTTGTTGATTCACTACTAATGAATCCCAATTCACTAGCACTCTGTGGGACTTCAGCCACTGCTCTGTGTGACAGGTGATGTTTAACCTAAGATCCCCTGGATCTTAATACTATTGGCTGCCTTACTCCTTGACCCACTTTTAATGATTATTCAGCCTGAGGCAAGTGGATTAGTTTCTGTCTATAGTCCAGGAGAAAAGAAAGAGGAAAATGGCCCATCGTATAACTCAGGTATATAGCTGCCTCTTTTGGGGAATTTTGGAAATCATAGCCCTGCCTTAATTCACTTAACTCAATTTTTTTTTTAAATGCTGAGTTTAGAACACAAATCAGATGTTGATAACTTACTTGGCCCCTCAACTTTCAGACATTGCGTAGCAGCGAACAATTAAATGTAAAATGCTGTATTTTCCTCCACTTCATTAAAGAGCTATAGCATCACACACCTGCAGCAACAGCATCTATACTGTCCCCATATTGCAATAGGTGCTGTGAGCATTTTATGAACATAACACAGGAGTAGTAATTTCATTTATTATTTTAATATTCTGACTTTCCATTGTGATCTTATGTAGCCTTATTACATCCCTCTCTCTCTATAGCAAATTGCTTCACTGCTTCAGACTCACAGTTTCTGCAGTGAAATCATTCTGAACAAAACTCCCACTCAGGATGAATCCAATGGCACTAGAGTTACATTTTTAATTTCAGCTAAATCCAAATATTGTTTCCCCTGGAGAATCCTCACATTTTTTCCTCTACCATATCAAGTGGATTATTGCAGATAGTTTAGTTTTGCTGCTTAAAAGCAGCTTGCTTGCAGTAGTGGCACGGCTGGATGCATGAAATTGATCTAACCACTCTGTGAGTTAAAAAAAAAAAAGA